AATTATAATTATAATCATTTAGTCAGAGTCTTATTTTAGGTGTCTATAACCTTTTATAAATCAGCAATGTGTTGTGAGTACATTTTTCTTTGTTCATTCTTGAATTCATATGCTAATCTCTTTCTATTGCATTTATATTCTTCTATTTGCTATTCTACATCATCAATAGATTTTCCTTAGTCTATCAAATATTGCTGTTTTATAAGATCTATAGCAAACTAGCATACTAATGAATAAGTGCATGCTATTAGCCCAGCTTCATTAAGAATCTTCTTGCAAGCGGCTAGGAATTTGTCATTATTATTATTACTATGTAAGAGGATTAATTTTTCTATCCCAGAAATCTTGAGTTTGATTGTAAAGCAATCACTTTCATTATTACTTAAGAAGAATCCATAGTTTACAAAATGATATCTATTCGTCATGTCTCCATAGCTGCATGGAATTGACTCTCCTACTTCAAGATCATGAGAACTGACCAATTAGAAGAAAGATCCTTCTGGAGGTACAAAGTAAGATGTGGTGTCCTGTACAACATCTATAGGAACTTCACTTATAATAGCTTAAAGCACCTCTTCTGAGGGTGGAGAAAAATCCTAACCATTAATAGCTTCAAATCCAGGTATGCAATAGCAATTGAGGTTTCCAATGCTATTTTCAGTCAGTACCTAACCTTCAGAATCAACTACCTGCCAAACAGAAGATCTACCTGGAGTGTGATTTACTTACTCAATCATTGGTATCATTGATTAATACTTTAGATTGAATCCAAATGAAATTAGTCTGGTCTAATAAATCACCCAGGCTTCAATATATTATTTGACGAAGTTTTCCTTAATTTTTTCTCCAGAGCAAAAATATTCCAAACAACCATTCTCTAAAACCTTGATAAAAATTTCATCAGCCTCTTTAAGAGTTTAAGCCCTCATCTGTCTGATTTGAGTAATTGCTGGAATATCCTGAATAAAATCTATTTGTTCATCAGTCCATTAGAATGGTAGGTCTGCAGGGGCTGAAACTGAAAGAGGATTGTATAAATGTGATTCAGTTCCTAGGAGGAGTTAATGCATATAATAAAGGACTAGAGTAAAGTCTTAATTAACATCTAATGACTTGATTATCTAGCCAACTCCTTAACTATTTCTAATAGTTTCATAGTCTATTCTTGACCTACATGGAATTCTCAAGGTCCATTCCCCTTTCTTTATCTATTGACTAGTACCAACCCCAACTAAGAATCCTGAAGGTCCATAAGCACAAGGATAATCAATCCTTTCCATATTAATTCCTTGTTCAATACACCAATCTTAGAATCTAGTGTACTTAGGGTTCTTTTTTAACTCCTACGTAGCCACTTTGTTAACAAATTGAAATGGGTCAGGTTAGCTTTACATTCTTGCTTTAAGTTATATACTATAATTTTGCTTAATACTATACTTGAGCTATTTAATATGTTTTATAGCTTAGATAGATTCTTTGCCAAATACAAATAAAATTAGAGAAATTCAAAAAATAATGATGAATTTTGGTGTCATGGGGTTTTGGGGTTTTGGGGTTTTGGGGTTTTGGGGTTTTGGGGTTTTGG